CAAACAAGTGAGCATAGGTAATGCTTCTAAAATAAGGTTTGACAGTTTCCTGCACGCCTTCCTTTTCACGAGAAAATTCTACTCTGGTCATCAAATACCATTTAATTCCCTTGCGTTGCGGCGTTGATGATACAAGAATGTTCTGAACTTTTTCCTTAATATTACCATAAAACATAAGCAGGTCAAATTTTTCCACATCCCTTGGGTATATTTTAATAGAATTAACAGAACCATTCAAAGCACGTACAATTTCATGATTGTTTTCAGTCTGATTTTCATTTGTTAAATGTTTTTGAGAGTCTTTTTCAGCCGAATCAGAACTTCCACCAATTTGATTTGATGTTGAAGTCGAACTACTGTTGAGAAGAGATGTTGCATGATTGTGAAACCGACGCTGGTGAGTAACAAAATTGTCTTTCCTGTTGAATATTATACAGAGTACACCATCCATTCAAGAAATGCCTCAACAGCCAAACACTTCTATGCCGCGACAAGTAATGCCGCAAGAGCCAAAGACGTCTAGGACATGCCATGACAAGTAATGCCTCAACAGCCAAACACTTCTATGCTACAACAAGTAATGCCTCAAGAGTTAGAAACTTCTATGCCATTCAAGAAATGCCTCAACAGCCAAACACTTCTATGCTACATCAAGTAATGCCTCCACAGCCAAACAAGCCTCAAGAGTTAAACACTTCTATGCCATTCAAGAAATGCCTCAACAGCCAAACACTTCTGTGCCGCAACAAGTAATGCCTCAAGAGCCAAATACGTCTATGCCGCAACAAGAAATGCCTCAAGAGTCAAATACGTCCATCGTCATGACCGTCCACCAAATTATCAGCCTAATACTCAACTAGTATATACCAACCATATTTGTCGGCTATGCGCACGTGCGTAGTACTTTTTGTCAATTTTTCTCTGGACGACTACATAATTAGGGCCCAGCAAGGATTTGCGGGTGCCCTATAGTAATCACTCTGTCTGTTTGTCTGTCCGTCTGTCATTCTTCCGTCCACAAATTTCCTGTTTTTTCCTAATAATTTTTTTTTACGGTAGCCCAATTAAGTTCAAATTTGGTATGGTAGTTCAGTAGGCAAAAAGACATATTTTGATGCAAAGGTTGTCTCTCTATGTCCTCTGGTTTGGAGCTAGGGTGGTGGGGTAGATTCCTTATATATGCATAAGAATAATTGGGCAACTTTTTTTATGGTTGCCCAATCAAGTAGACATTCGGTATGGTAGTTCAGTAGGCAGAAATACACATTTTGATGCTAAGTTTGATTCTCTATGTCCCCTGGTTTGGAGCTGGGGTGGTGGGGTAGATTCCTTAACTTTATATATAAGAATGCATTGGCAAAGAGAGATAACTGATGAAGATGTTCCCATTGTAAACTGAACGCTGGTGTAGTTATATTGAAAACTAAATTATAAACCATTGAAACTCCACGAAATTGAAAAATGCCTAGTAAAAAATGCATTTTTTTCCTATCTGTAACTTGAGTAAACTCGAACTTAATTTCAGGTCATAGTAGAACATTCTTTAATCGCAAGATTTTTGGTCTTTTCAACTTTGATTTATAAATATATTTTTGAAATTTGAATTGTTTAGTATATATTACAACTGCCCTAAAATAGGTTGTTGTGATTGTTATGCATTAGAGGATGGAAGTTTAACTATAATAATATTTTAATATTTGTATTTTTCTCATTAAATGTTATGCAGAGCAGAAGGCCCATCACTGATGACGTAATTATGACTTTTGTGCAGCCTCCCGTTGTAGAGGAGCTAGGCAGGATAAGTTCTTTTGAGAACAAAAAACGGATCAGCGTCAAGGGGGAGGTCACCAAGGTGAGTGCAACTTTCTTGGTACACATCTCTGATAAATATATTGGAACATGTGTAATATGAAATTTTGTGCTTAAAGTTTTACTTAAGTTTTTCTTAAATTGGTGATAATATTTTCCATCTTTGTATTCATGATTACGCGATAATTTTTATAATAATGTAGAAATACATAGTGTTTGAATTGGGAATAATTACTCTTATGATATTATTACATTTTTGAAAAGCATTATATCAATTGTATTAGTTGAAATTATGTGAAGCATACATTTTCATCTAAGGTCTCAAGCATCATTGAAGGATCAAAGTCAAAGAGAAAGATCATTACTCTATCGGATGGCCAGGCTAGCATAGACATCAGATTGTGGGTTGGTCTCTCTGAGACTGTTATTCATGAAGGGACGACCATTGATATTTCGTGCGTCCATGTCGATGTCTATCAGAACAAGCGTTCATTAAACTCCACTGGTCGCACCCAGATGAAGGTGAAATATTGTATTTTATATCCTTATTTTTTGTGTAGTTTTTTTTTTTCTAGTATAATAACCTTAAATTTGAACTTTTCATATTTTATGCTCTTATTACACAATGAAATACTGTGCATGTAATTATGTACATATGCAAGACATTCAGCTGTGTACTGTAGACGTCTTTAATTTCACGTGTCTAAAATTTCACGGTTTGTTAGAAAGTTACCTTTCACGGTGGTTTAAATATCACGGAGAATTTTTTTGTAAATATTCAAGTACTATGACTGTGTATAGGTAGAAATGACGTGAAAAAATAATCACGATGGTTTAAAATTCGCGGAAAATTCTTAAATCGTGAACATAGTGAAATTAAAAACACCGTAATGTTTTTCACTTCTACAGTATTTGATTTAGCGATTGTTGAGTTCTGCCAAGTCAATCCGTTGGATAGATACACAGCCAATTGTGATATGTTTACAGTAATGCCTGTTCTAATTCATGACCATTTCCTTGTGTTATTATTTTAGATTAATGAGGCTGAAGAAGATTTTCAAGGATACATCGAGGGAGTCTCCTTTGATGAGTAAGGAAAGTAATAAACAAAAGTATGACATTCAAAATTTTTACATGGAAAGTGTTTTTTTATTTGGTGGCAAAATTAAATTTGAAATGTACTACAGTTTATTGACGTATGAGGGGTCTGTGTTAAGATGTCAACAAAGCAAAACTTCACCCATTCATATTGAGTGTTATATTTGAAGATTTATTTGGTGTTTTAAATATGTTTTTTGAAAATCTATTTAGATCAATATAACATAAATGTTTGTTTTGCAGGAGCTGTTTGGCCATCTTCATTAATGACGAGGTTCTATGCTGCATATATATCCTTTTAGATGGATTTAAGATGGCTGGTGATCTAATTATAGATGTATGACGTAAGTTGAAGTAATATGAATCATATTTATTTATAGAATCAAGATGGCGGTTGGTCTAATTTTAGATGTATGACGTAGGTTAAAGCAATATGAACCATATTTATTTATAGAATTATGATGGCGGATGATTTAATTATAGATGTATGATGCAATATAAGGACCTGTGGTAGATTTGATTACCTAAAAGTGGTGTGATAAGGATGATTGAGTATGTGCACTCAATAGTCTAAACGTGCGCAGCGCATGGTTTTGCAAAGGTGTTTGCTTTATCATTTTCTAAATATAGAACGTTAGTATCAGCATAAATTTTTAATATCTATTATATAAATGTGTTTTCAAGGAGGGGGTGATATTATTGTTTTTGAAAACAGAAGAAGAATGGCGATCAGACAAAGTTTAATTATAAGAGGCAACGAAATCCCTCGATTAGAAGATTGGGATCAAGAATTAAAAGAAGAACAAGGACCACCAGGGAGAATGCGGTGGGTAACGGTGAAGCTTTTTTTGTATTTGACCATGAATACGAAGAGAAGAACGAAGAAGAACTGAAAAAATAGAGTCATGATTAATGACTAAACCAAACGGCCGTTTTAATGGCCACTAAATATTTTCGAAAAGATACCACATTTCCAGACGTATGGTTTATGTTCTATGATAGGCTAAAAAGAATTCTCTTGGAATTTTAATACAGTATAGTATTATTTTCTTATATTGAAAAAAATATATTTAACATATTAAATAGACTTTTTCCAAAAATTATCGATAAGGAAAAGGTATTTTTTAAAAAAATATATGACAAAGACTAATTCGGCACGAATAAACGATGCATGGAAAATAACTCGGTCATGATTACTTTAATATTTGGTATTTTAAGCGCTTACTATACATGTATCTTGAGAGATCTTTCTTTTTTTTTTAAAAAAATGCACAAAAATGAACAATAAGGGTTGGAAATTCTAGGTGAACACCTTTATATGGTGAATAATAAGGGTCCAAATTTTCAGATTAATCCTTGCAATAGTTTCTGAGAAATGATCGGGACAAAACCACAAAAGAAAGAAAGAAAAAAAAAACACCTGCAAAATTC